CTCTTTATGCTTCTAATTAAATTAGTAAAGGAGCACTATTTCACTTGGCTATTTTTCAACACATTTTTTCATTATGCCATATTATTGTGATTGACTTACAGTTGCAATCACTACCAGGACTCAGAAAGAAACTCTTCAGGGTGACAGACTGGAAAAGTTCCATGGAACCAAGTTAAAAGATCCCTGGTGCCAAAGAGAGAGAACTGGGATCATTCCTCTACAACATAAACCAAAAAGGAAATGATATTCCCATTTCATCTCTCTATCCTGATGCAAATTTTTTTCAGTAAGCATAACTCTTACATTATTTTTAAGTGGCTCTGTGTGGGTCCAAGTTAATTTCAATAAGTTGAAGTACCGTTTTAGGGTAGTAACTTCTGTTGTACCTCTAATACCACTCACAGATTCAGCAAAGTAAAAGGTAAGCTAATAAGAAAATCTATAATAATTTAGAAAATAAACAGATGACATACATGAGCACATATATCATATGTATGCATATGTGCATTTTGGAAGAAAAACAAATAGAGGTATGGTAAAGGAATCATGAAAATGCTTGTTTCCATGACCCTTAAGAAACCAAACAAGAATGTTTTGTAGGGTTATTGGATTGAAAAGAATTAGGCTAAGAGGTTAACTAAGCAATTCAATCTAATATCCATAACTAAGACTGTACCTCAATCATCTCTGTGGAATAGGCAACACATTGACTGTTCAATATGAATGGAAATTCCCCAATGTCCCTGAGTAATTCACTCTAACATTGAGTTAACAATTCTCCCTGCTGAACCACTTCCTCATATCACAATTCAAGACAAATTCCTCTCGAAATAAATCAAAATGTAGAAACAAATACTTGATTTTCCAATAATGAGCACAAAACAGCTCTTGTTATAATATGAAACATAGGATGAAACAAAGAAATATTTACTAAGCTCTAAGTGAAAATAAAACAAAGAATAACAAAAAATGAGGAAGCTATGCTATCTGTAGTGGCAGAACTTGATTTCTGATTTCCAAGGAAACCCACCTAAGGGTATATGATGGTAGTTGGTGTTTCAACTAAATATCTACAACTATGGAGTGGTGAACCAGAGCTAATATTTCTAAAATTCTCTCCCAACAGTCAGATTTTGAGAAACAGTTTCAAGATCTCCCAATATAAGAGCACCATGTTCCAGCATCTTTGATTCTAACTGATAATAAACAATTGCTTGAAAATCCTTAGAAACACCAAGGTATTTCATATTTTATTCAGAGTACTGAGTAAGCAGATCAAATTTAATGTGAGCAGTCAATTAGGCTTACAACTCTAAGCCTAAATAAATCCCCTCTTGTCAGGGTCTGCAGCATACATGAATATAAGGACAGAAAGAACAACTGAGAGAGAGATTATTTAAAAAATCTAATATAAAAGCTAAGGGTTTCTGAAGGCAGTGGCACACATCTGGAATCATAGACACTGGTGAAGCTGAGGCAAGAGGATCACAAGTTCAAGGCCAGTCTGGGCAATTTAACGAGACACTGTCTCAAAATTAAAAAAAAAAAAGAAAAAAAAAGAAAGAAAGAAAGAACTGGGAATATAGCTCAGTGGTAGAGCACCCTTGGGTTGAATCCCCAGTACCACAAAGAAGGAAAAAAGAAAGATAAAAGCTGAAGATCAATGCATGTTTGGATAAATAAAGGTCCAAAATTGTACTCTCCCCTTATAATACTTAAGTGATACTGTTAAGTATCTTTTACAGTTTTTTCTTCCTGTGAGCTTCTTCAGGGAAGTTACAGATATTTGTATACTTGGGGCCTAATAGAGCGCTCAGAGCATAACTGATAAACAATGAATTGCTCTGTGCTATCTCCTTTAATCTTTATAACCTCATATGAGGTAGATAGTATATTGTTACTCTGATTTTACACATGAAGAAATTTATAGTCATTAATGTTAAAAAACTTGCACAGGTCACATAGCAGTCTACTCCAGAGTATATACTCTTAATCACTACATTATATTATTGAATAAATGAATGCCTGCTTTTTCACATCGTTCTGTCTCAATTCTAATTTTATAAGTCCACTGACACAGATGCCATTCTGAATTTGTCTTCTGTATCAGGCTGACAACATGAGCTTAAGAGTCATCGGGGAAGCATAAGATTTAGGGACCAAATAGATAATTTTGGGAACCCACAGGTGTTTCTGGGCTTTGCACATTCAGAGTAAATATTAACATTAAGTTAATTATATCTAAATACAAGTGCACTTAATTTTAAAAATAAATTATTACAATATAATTTTAGGAGATAAAATGAATAATTTATAATATAGAAAAAGTAGGAAGATAAAAATTCTTTTGAATTTTTAAAGTTAGAAGGGATCAGTAAGTGGTTTATAATTAATTCAATAAAATATTCCTTACAAGGAAATTTACAATGCTAGCCTATTCCAATGTATCATTTGTGTTTCCAAATCAATAACACAAACATAAAATTATTGAACCTTGCACTCTGCTAAAAACAACCATCAATTCATCTTTCAGTATATCCCCTGCTACTATACAAATATAAATCTTTTCATCCAGAAAAAAGAACTTCTGTGACATATTTTTTTCTTCAGTATAGAGTCAATAAGGGATGAAAAGC